TGTGTCAATGGCACGGTAAAAGCATGCTAGCAGCACATAAAAAGCATACTTTGGCACACTTTTTCCATGCCATTGGCACAATTTAAGTGTGCTTTTTCTAAAAGTATGCTTTTCCGGGACAGTGTAGGAAAGATAAGAAATGTTGGGAAGTTCTCTGACTCCAATGAAAACGCTTTTTCACTCTCTGAAGATCCAAAGGAGACTGGAAGTATCCCTAACCGATTCGACATGATAGACTATCTATATTCTTTATAAAGTTTTATTATTTGTAGGTGACTTTTTTTTGTGTTATTAAAATTCACTGATGTCTGGTGCCATCTATCCCCGAACTACAGGGAAACGTTTGTTTAGCTTTTTTTCTCTCTCTATCAGTAGATATTTTAGCCATCAGTTTCAGTATTTTCTCTCGTGGTTGAAAAAGTTTTCTATTCTCTTTCTTGTGATTGGCTAGTCCATGGAATATCTGACAGCCATTTTTCCGTATTTTGCGCGCACACACACTTTTGTAGACTAAAGTCAAGGGAATTACTATACGGTTTATAATGCACTTTAGATACCTTTTAATGTTCACGTCTGTTTCCTTTTACTCTGGGTATTGAAGGGCGTTAAAATTTAAGAATGAGAACAATAAATGCTTTAAGACGTTCAATGATCTCCAAAGTTTTTGTACAAACTTCTCGGATCGCTACCGTTCTAGATTTTTGAAAGTCTCATTCCTTTTGATCATGATTTCGCTCAAAGAATGATAAATGGTGATCTAATAAATCTTTTATATTTGCCTTCAAAAGCGCGTACGGTGGAATATGAAAATAAACATACTGTGAGTAAAGCCCACATATGTTATGATCTCCTTGTAAGTTTCAAAGCCGATCTTAAAAAAGTGCACTTAACAGACGGCTCCAATCTTTATGTTTGAAATTATGAACGAAATGTGCTGTTTCTAAACGATCAAGCGGTCAAGAGAAAATCTAACAGTTAGACTAAATTATGAATACAATGTTCTAAGAGAATGAGACGGCTGACAAATGGTAACGATTCAGTTCCAGGTAAAAAATAATATTCACCAATAATTTTTTATTTTTAATCGCTCTTGCGGTTGAATGTTTGAGCGAGAAAGTCCTAAGAGGTGACAAAAAACGGCGGAATTGTTCTTTATATATTATACTTCGGAGCGTAGTCTGCACTGGAGCTTTTGGAGCTGAATTTTCACGAAAAGTTTTCAACTCCGAGACTGACGTATCAATCTTCAGCAAAGAAGCACACACAATGTACAGAGAACTTTAGAGAAATTGTGGCTGTCCCATGCTAGATGATGAGTGGCATGTTATCGTTTCGATCGAAATCCTGCATTTCTCGAGCTATTCTATCGCTGAAGATAGAGTGGTAAACAAAGGTGTGGGTGGATGCAGTCGAAGAAGGATCGTTGTTAAACTCAAAGCTGATCTCAATTCTCATCAACTTCAATGAAGGTAGCACATAATGATTAGATTGGTTTGGCTAATCAGGACGTGGCTGTCGATGTTGAACTGGCTTTAGTTTATTGTTGCTTTGGACAAAGCTTATGACATTTTTAACGATTTCATTGAATACCAACAGCATTGCGAAACTTGAAACATTGACACAATAATATAACTGAGGCAACGGAAGATTCAGTGAATGTAGTGGCAGTTGGAATCCTTTGATCTATCGACACGGATACAGAGTTGGTCCGGCGGGTAACCTCCCCATCCCTCCCCCAATAACTGAAAATAATCTTTTCCATTGACCAACTGAAAAATAAAATTTGCAAGAAAAGCTCGCGCGCAGCAAAAACTTTTCAAGTCGATATCTCCCTCCAAAAAATTTTTTTGTGGAAAAGCAGTTTAATTTTTAAAAAACAATCGTTAAAAATTTCGACTTCTCCCCCAATCCTGCGTATCTCAGACCAATTCTGTACGGATAGACGATGAGTGGTATGTTGTTGTTTCAATCGAAATCGAAATACGGTGTTGTTTATTGTATATGTTTTATGGTTGATTATTACGCTTTAGAATACTTTTTTTACATAGTATTTTAATAATTTTTTAGCGTAAATACGAAAGTGATGCTCTCATTCGCTATCACTAAATAAATATTCTGATAGAAGAAAAACACAGTGGCATTTATAAAACGTTTGACTTATGAAGGATAAAGACGTTATTAAAGATTTCAATGTGCTTAGTTTTTGCTATAAGCAAGCGCTCTTAACATATATATTTGACAGAAATACCATGACTCGATTCTAAACGCCGAACGTTAACTACCATAACAGAAGCAGTAACAGGCAGGTACAATCTGAAGTTTTATTCACGCGTATTACGGTCGAATAACATCCAGTTTCAATTTCACTGAAAACATAGTTTTATTTAGATGACATTCTCTCGACTATTGATTCGAACATTGGGGACGTCTATCTCCTCATTCACTAAGAAACAGCTTTCACAGTTGCAATTCACTCGCACTCTAGTTCGTCCCGTATATTTTTCATCATCAAAATATCCTGATGATTTGGCATTAGTTGATCGTTCATCATCGTACACCTATCGTGATTTATATTTTCTTAGTTATCGTTTATCACAAAAACTTTTATCTGTTTGTAATCCCTCAAGTTCTTTCACTTCTACGTTCCCATTTCGTTCGGAAGATACTCACATCGGTATATTGTGCTCGAATGATGTCTCTTATGTTTTATCCATATGGGCATGTTTTATGATCGGTTGTACATGTATTCCATTGAGCAGTCAACATCCACCGTCAATGTTATCCTACTTTTTAAATGATAGCGAATGTAAAGCATTAATTTCAACAATTGAACATAATAATTCACTGGATACTATTCAAGCAACACATCCAAAACTGCCAATTATGTTAATTGATTCAAACGACCTAGATTCAAAATTGATTCCTAAACAACAATATCAACAGCAGCCGAACAATGAACCAACATCATTTCACGATCATTTGTTATTAACAAACTATTATGATAAACGAAATGCTTTGATACTGTATACGTCAGGAACATCCGGAAAACCAAAGGGTTGGTATGTTAGTTATCTGGCATTGGGAAGAAATACTCATTCTACTTCATTCTTGATTTCAGCGTGATAACTCATAATAATATACAAGCATACGTAGAATCAATGACTAAAGCTTGGAAATGGACAAATTCCGATGTGTTGCTTCATGTACTTCCGCTTCATCACACGCATGGATTAATCAATTGTTTATTGACACCATTATCCGTTGGTGCTACAATTGTTATGATGCCAAAATTTAATGCATCAGAAGCATGGCAATATTTAGCATCTCCTGGATTTGAAAAACCAATTATCAATGTTTTTCATGCTGTTCCAACGATTTACTCAAAATTGATTGATGAATATGATTCAAAAATTGGCACAGACGAAACACGATTTCAATCTCGAAATCAAGCACGAGAATTTATCAAAGATCAATGCCAAAAAATGATACGTTTAATGGTGTGCGGTTCCGCTGCATTGCCAACAACTCTCTATGAAAAATGGAAACAAATTTCGGGACATGATTTACTAGAACGTTATGGCATGACAGAAATTGGAATGACACTCACTAATCCACTTGATGGTGAACGTATTCCAGGCGAGTTTGTTTCCTTTCAATAGGAGGCAATTCAAACATGTTACTGTGAAATTTCATGGCCTTTATTTTTTCTGTAGGATGTGTCGGACGACCGTTCTCCGGAGTTGAAATCAAAATTGTAAATGACGATGGGGAAGACTTGTTAATAGCTAATAGTGAAAAAACAGAAATTCTAGTAACAGACAAAAGTAAATAGTCATCGTATATTTATCTTATTATTCATTTTATTCCACTTACAATCTCCATCACCTGTCAATTTGATGTTCACTACGCTAATAGTATCATCAATGCTCATTTTATCTTGTTTAGATGATAATCAGTCAATTGAAGGCGAATTGCTCGTACGTGGACCAAATGTATTCAAAGAATATTGGAAACGGAAGGCGGAAACGAAAAAAACTTTTACTAAAGATGGCTGGTTTAAAACCGGTATAAATTCTAATGTAAATGCCGAAAGCGTTCTTGTTCACTTGTTTCAGTCTATTAAGGTGATATTGCTCGTTATGAAAAAGAACACGACGTGTTTAGTATTCGTGGTCGATTATCAATGGATATCTTAAAAAGAGCTGGATACAAAATTTCGGCATTAGATATTGAACGTGTTCTATTACAACATGAATTAATTGCAGAAGTTGCTGTCGTTGGAATACAAGATCAAGTATTAGGACAAAAAATTCTTGCCGTAATTGTAATCAAACAACAACGGCAACAGTCAACTAATTTAACAATAGATGATGTTAGACAATTTGCTAAACAATATTTGCCTAGTTATTCATTACCGGATTTGATAAAAAAAGTAGACGAATTGCCACGAAACGTAATGGGTAAAATTAATAAAAAAGAACTTTTAAATACATTAATGATAAAAAACTGAACTTTTTTTTTAAATTTCTTCAAATGAATTAATTACCGAATAAAGTTAGATAACATTAGCAAGGAGTTAGGTAGCTTCATTTTTATTTCACAGAAAATTTGGATTTTTAACAATTACCGAATAAGAAAAGAAAAATACTTCATATTAAAAATATATCAATATCAAATTTACAATACAAAAAATTAAGTACAAGAAAAGATTTTTTTCCTAACAGCGAAAGAACAGAAGGATTCAAAATCAACACAAAAGAAATAGTATCAAACGAAAAAAAAAGATATTTATTTGTCAAATACTAAGAAAAGTGTATGTTGTGAACCAACAGCAACCATTTGAACGCTTTTTATATCCATATATTTTGAACTAATCATTTCTGGTTTTTTAACGTCTCTTTGACCATGACCATGTTGAAGAGATGCACCACCACCAAATGAATAAGCTTTACCATTTTCATCAATAACAAACGAAACATGATTACCACATGAAATATCCACAGCTTTTGGAACATCGTCGATTCGTGTTGGTTCAGATAAATGTTTATCAATATTTTCGATTCCCAATTGACCTTCATAATGACGTCCAAATGAAAATACACTACCTAAAATGAATAGTAGAATTGTTATCTGTAAAAATGCTTGTCAACGTTGCCCTAGGGGGCCAAAATGTGAAAACTTTCTTTCTGAATATACGCACAAATATATAATCAGTACTCACTAGTCTGTCTATCGTTTCCCTTAGAGTAAGATACAAGAAACATCCAATTCTCGCTCTAGTACGAATACACCTTTATTTCGACAACTACTGCTCGGCCATTCCACGCATACCAGCCAAAAAACGTGAGTCCGTTACGTATTGTGAAATTCATAGCTCTTCAGCCGAGCAACGTACACAGTTGAGGAACGCCTTATTTGTAGCTTAAAGATTTTTCTTTCAAATGGGAATTAAGCAAAGTCCAGCTCTACCGTAAGGATCTACTCCTAATTCGTGCCAATAAAGCCATTTTGTACGAAAGTGGCGTATAGCAAAAACATTATGTTCCTTAAATTAATCGACTGGTAGATTTTGCTTAATTACCATTTGAAAGAAAAAATTTTAAGCTACAAAATAAGACGTTTCCCAACCCTGTACGTTGTACTCGGCTAAAGTGCTATCTATCTCACAAAACGTCACGGACTTACGTAAAAGTGGTCTTTTACGGTCGTGCTGCCGTCGTTGATATATTAGATGATGAAGGTCGTACTAACGAGAGACGAAGATAAAATAGTCAGTTACAAATCACAAGATACTACGTCGTTCGTGTCCTGTTCGTCCGTAAGGAGAGAAGGAGGAAACAGAAAGTGCAAAAACAGCCATTTTGTCACCTAAATCGCTTTAACCTTAAAGCTTCGTTTTCCCTTCCGACGCAGGAAAGCCCTGAAATTTTTCACAAAAGGAAATGAATATGACTGTTTCTTACCATCTTTTGCCAATGCCAATGTATGATGAAGACCCCCAGAAAATTTGATCCATTCATGTCCATCGAGTGACGGGATATATGTTGGAAAAAAAATAGGCTCCGTTGATTCAAAACCTTAAATAGAGATAAATCATTTTATAAAATCACAGAATGGCTGGTGATATACAAGCGTTACCTAATTGATGAAAATTGTTTAAACCACAACCGAGACTGATATTTTGGTCTTCAGCCTTTAAGAAAAATCCATGTGCAGAAGCAAATATATCACTAAATACTAATTGTTTTTCTTTTAAATTTTTTCGATTGTATTCAATAGGTGCTGGTGTTAATAAGCGTTCTAAACAAGCGAAATTAGAAGCTTCAGACTGAAAAATAATTAGTGATACATACCTGTTCCTCCATGCCTTGAATACTCTGCTGAATAACGACTTATTCGTCCCAATTGTCCTGTTTCTCCATTACCCGATGAATAGACACAACCTGTTTCACTAAGAAACAATACAAAATCGTGACCACTAGCTATTTTGATAATTTTTTCTGGTAAAGGAATTTCTACTGGTTCACTTTCAATTTTATTTTTTGTAATTAATCCAAATGGTCCATTTGTTGAACTACGAAATGTACCCCATCCTGAAAAAACAAATATCAATTTATGTTAAAACGCAGTTTATCCAAATGAAACTTACCGTAAACTTTACCCACATTCGTCAATATCATTGTATGACTATCGCCAGCAACAACTTGAATAATTTGTTCATTTTTATTTGTAATAATTTTCGTAAAATCTACGCTACCGAATTTTACTTCAGATTCATCGTCCGAGTCTTCATCATCATTTTCCGTATGTCCAAGTGCTTTTTCGTCATTACAGCCGAAACTGTATATTTGATTTTTGTCGGTTAATACCGCGGAATGCATAGGACCAGCGGCTATTTGTATAACTTTTTCTGGTATTGCAACCGGTTGAGCATTTTGACGTTCTGGTATATTCGCACTCAAACCAAGCTGTCTCATTCCATTTTCACCCAATGCTAGAACTTGACCACCCACTTTCAATGTTGCAGCATTTACCGTTAATAATTTTGTTGGATGTGCAATTCTTGTCTTACGAATGGTTGTATTAGATGCAGCCTTTATATTATCTAAATTAGGCAAACTCCATGTATCACATCTTTTTTTGTAGCTTGGAATATGTGTTTCATTACCTTTTTTACTCGTTTTCGTTGTTGTGGCTGGTAGTGCTATGTTAGACGAGGATGATGAACGTCGTTTGACTGATTTTGAACGACTTGTCGTCTTTGGTTTGGTTGATTTTGTGGGAGCTGCTCGTATTTGTGGAGGAGGAGAACGTGATACTAATCGACTGCTATTACTGTTAGAAACCGATTTTGAATGCGATGGTTGACTCGATGATGATACAGTGGCTTTTACGCGTGATGTTGTTTTTTCTAGAAAAAAAAAGAATGTTCTTTCTCCGCTTGCATATATGTAATGTTCCTTTCCAACTTACTTGTTATTAGGGATGTTGTTGTTAATGGTCGTGATGGTTGTGGTGAGCGTTGTTTTGCTCGCTTCTTTGGAGTAGCAGATTTTTCTTCGTCATCCTCGCTGTCATCTATAAACAAGAACACAATGTTACAATCACGTTATAAAAATTTATTTCCGCTTTGAAATTACCATCTTCATTAACCGGTCGTTTTTTTGGATTACGACCTGTTTGTTTTCCTGTAAATGGTGTTTCGTTTTTATTGTTTTCGGCAATTAATTTGCTGCGGGCTGCTAAAAAGGAAGACAAGGTTAATAGAAGTCAAAAGGTTATGTGAAACAGATATCACTGTCAGTTTGTTCTCATCAAAACAGTCTACTTACATGCTGGCATGACAGTCTAAAGAGAGTTGGTGACTATGTTAGATCAACTATAGTAATCTAAAAACATTACAATAAGAACATAGTTAAGCTCAGCAAGGAAAAGTATAGACCGTTCATAGTCAATGTTTCTATGCAGTAGAGAAAGAACATATCCTCAGTTTTCTCAGTTCCATAATTTCAAACTAATTACTTTAATAAGTAGATGATAAATTCTAATATTGATCTTTCTAACTGAAAATTAACTGTTTCATTGATTAAATATGTCGGAACATTTAAAGTATCCGTCCGCACTCGTTATCAAACTGACAATGGTTACAATGACAACTGAACTCATTCTTGTTTAAAGTACATTATTCTAAATATCTTTTAACATAACAAAGTAAAATAAAAAAACACATAAATATGATCCTTTAATTACATGTAGCAAAATCTTTTTTTCATTGCAGATTAACTGCTAAAAATTCATTCAAAAAAAAAGAAACAACCTTTTTATTTGGTCAAAAATACACCAACGTTGCTTTTACTAGTTATTTATATTTAACAACACTAGGTAAATTGAAAGAAAATTTTCAACAAACAAATGTTATTATAAAGTAAGAAAAAGAAAGTAAGAATCAGACGCGTTTGGAAACGAGAAAGAAATACAAAAAAATTCTATTCGTTTGTATCTTTTGTTGTTTTAATGTCATCGTAATTAATGTGACGTACTTTTTTGAAAGCAAATGTAATGTACAAACCTAAAACATAATTAAGGATTAAGAGAGAACACATGATCGTGTCATAGAAACTTACTTGTTATTTCCCATTCTTGCATGGATAATGTACGCTAAAAATAAAAGAAGTTTATAAAAGTTTTACAAAACGGAAAGTTGAGTGTTACATTGCTTACACAAGAGGATACGGTATTTTGGTTTGGAGACGCTGATTCGGATGACACCAGCGACGATAAATATTTGACTGCGTGTTCATATTGAACATGATCAGCTGACAAGGGTATACGTTCATAAACATCAGTTTTATTGGAATATGCCTAAACAATCAAGAGATAAGATTCTATAACATGTCCTTCTAAGTACTTTATGTTATTATTTCGTACTTCTAACGCTTTCATTTTTTCCAATAATACTCTTGCGGACTTTTGATCCGAAAAAAACTGTGTAAATGTTTTTCTATCAACAAATTCCAGTCCATGTTTTTCAGCTAATCTAAACAGAAGATACATTGACTATACAGGCAACAAATAATTGATGGTCAACTTACTTGATTAATAATGGAAAATAAACTAAATATTCCTCACAATTAACGACTTCATGCAGACTAAAATCATATTTTGCATTAAATAATGGTATGTCCCCACTTAGATCCATTGTGTTCTTGTCAAAGGCTATCTTAAATATATCATTCGAGATTGTCTGATTAGGAGCATTTCGACAACGACAACTAAACAAAAGAAGGAATTATTAGTTACATAAAATGGTTTTTATTCAAGAAAATAATATTACGGCACTAACATTAATTCACTAGAATTAATCGTTGTACCAATAAAATATCCACCAATACGTAACATTTCAGATACATTACGCAAAAATATCATTATACGCTCACAAGATTCAAATGTATAATGAATAACAAATTGACTACTAACAAGATCAAAAATTGGATTATCTTTATTTTGTAATTTATCACGAATAAGATCCTAAAGAAGAGAGAGAACTAATACCATTCTTGAATATTCGAAATCAGTAGAACAACATACTTTAGAGCAATCAAGTGAGATAAACTCCGCTGTATAAGCAGCACGTAGTGATTTATAACGTTCTTTACATGCTTGAACTGACTTCTCAGCGATATCTAGAAACAAAAGACGAATATGGTGATCAGCATAAGAACTCTAGAGAACTTCATTTTGACGGCCTAGTACGTCTTTACCTGTAAACACTACATGATCAACCTTTCCGGTTTTCCATTTAAGCACATCTCCACCTACAAATAAACAGAAAATGATGAGCAAGTTTTTCATATTTTCACCTTCTTTCGTACCCTTCCCACATCCCAGATCGAGCACATGAATACAATTTTTTCGGTCGTTATTCTCTCTTCCGATACACTGTAAATATTCATCTAAAAACAACAAACAAACATCCTAGGGTATAAAAAATAGGGAAATTGAAAGCTAAATTACCTACTTATTAACATGCTTTTAACCCAGTTATTAAAATTTCTTAAATAAAATATTGGACTTTGGGTACGAGCTTCGAGTCCTTTTTCTTCCATTTCATTATAATGTTCGGCTACTTTAGCCGAAGTACTTGAATTGGCCATAATATCTAAAAACAAGCAATACTCATCAGATAGATATCGAAATGCTACGTTTTTCAAACAATTCGAATCTAAATAAATGTTTTGAAAAAGTGTTCAGTCTAAATTGTTCTGGCAGCCGAAAATGGCGACATTTGAGAAACGAAGAATTCTGACTCACTTGCCAAACTCATTAAACATTCTCTCCGTTAGATGTTAAAATCCCTCAAAAGTTCCTCTTTCTTAATATCAGCGTTTCAATTAGGGCATTTCCCCTTGGTTTTTGGTATAAGATCTATCTGAGAGAGAAAAGGATAGTAGAAACGTATAAAAAATGCGATCCGTAAGCTTCAGAAAGAATTACTTTCCTTCTTGCTTAGATGTATGGAGTACAGAGCTGCAGAATCTGCCTGTTTGCTCCGACGGTCGTCGGGGGAAAATTTATTGATTCGAGGAAATCTTTTTGAAAAACTGAAATTCCTTTTTGGAAATATTTTATAAAAAGAAATTCTGTTCGTAAATTCTGTTGGGAAATTTTTTGACAAACTTTTTTCGTCGGGGGAAATTTCCCAATCTCACGGGTAGATTCTGCACCTCTGATGGAGTAAATGAAGAAGACAAGATTTAGAAAAGCATAAAGCAGCGCTAAGAAAAAAACCGTTTACCCAATCCCAGATTTGAAGAGATCACTTCAATTTCGTTTTCA